GTATGAACTTTCTATATAAAATTCAAAACATAGAATACAACCATGAAAAATGAGAACATAAATACCAAATATGACAAAAACATGCATATAAATTAAATAGAGTTAAAACTTGGTATATTTATCTAGTTTTGAAAATATTCTCAACTTTAAAAAACTAAACAAAAAAATTTTAAAATACAACTTTAAGCTTGTTTTTACCTTATTTAGTTTATAAATTTGATATCATTCATTCAACAGTAAAGAAAATGAAAACACAGACTGAAAACAGAAAAAAATATATGTATAATTTTTAAAACATACACTAATAAAGTTAATTTGTTCTGATAATAAACCTACGTAATGAAACCTAAATAAAATATTTAAAGCAATAACAATTATTTTGTCTTGGGTTTATTTTTTTTTTAAATAAAATATAAATATTTTGATACATTTGGTAGAAAAAAGTCAAGATAAAAAGAATTTGTTTTTATGTATGAATGAGGATATGAAATAAAAATTGTGTTGGCGATTTGTTGTTTTGTTTTTTTTTCAAAACATTTTGTCTGAAAAGCTCAAGGTGTTAATGGCACTGATAATAACGACCATAACAAATTTCCTTATGAAAACCTAAATAAAAGTTTAAATTATAGAATAAATACAACGGAAGTTTTCTAGATATTAACTTTAAGGATTAAGTTATTAGAAAATCATTTTATATTTTAAAAATAATAACAAAAATGGGCAGATTCTAGCGATTTTTTTATTAGGATTATTTCTTCAATACACTTTTACTTATCTTGGACTTTCTATTTAAAGCCTCCCATTACCCAATCAAAGCTTTAAAAGTTTATAACCTTGAACTTATAAATGATAAAAAAAGAATAACAAACAGACAAATATTTTAATGGACACTTGGTCTCCCGACGTTTAGCATTAATGTCTAGGTCACGTGAAAATTACCACAAGAGTGTATAGATTAAATGATATCAAAAAATATTATTATTTTTGTTAATTTTTATTAACTAAAAAGATTATTATTTCAGTGTATGACGACAAATTTAATATACTCAATGATAACTCTACTGATGATGGAATTGCAAGAAAACTCATAAAAAAATTAAATACAGAAGAAAACAAATCTATAAATTTGTTTAAACTTAAGCAACCGAGAGCTTTGAAATTTACACAAGAAATTCTATATGGGAAACGTATGAGTGAGTAAAGGCAACAAGAAAATAAAATTTAAAAAACCAACAACGATAACAATAATGTGAATGAATAAATAAATATTAATAACAATAATAAAGTAAGAAAAAATAAAATAAAAAAAAAAAAAATCAAGAGTACTTCCACACACAATGATGGCAAATGTGTTACGAAGAGTGCTAGATAATTCTTCAACTACCACGAGTTAATTACTCCCTCCCGCTTACTTTAAAAATTTAATTGTACAATATACAAACTGTACAAATATACTATAATTAGGGGTGTTTTAAATTCTTAAAATAAATATTCGAAATATCAAATCTGTTTCTTAGTATATTTTTCATAGAAAGTTGATCGCACTCTGAGCAACTTTTTTCATAGATCAGAATTTTAGGCAACTTTTTCATAGAAAGAAGAAAAAGTTGTTCAGACTCTGAGCAACATTTTCATAAAAAAGAAAAGTTTATTATAGAAAAGTTGATCAGACTTTGAGGAACTTTTTCCTAGAAAAGTTGTCCAGACTGTGAGCAAATTTGTCAAAGAAAAATTGATCTGACTGTGAGTAACTTTATTTCGAAAAGAAGATCAGACTCTGTGCAACTTTTTCATGTAAAGTGATCACACTTTGAGATAATTTGTTGTAGAAAAATTGATTATATTCTTAGCAACTTTTTGTTATAAAAAAGTTTGTCACAATTGAGCAACATATTCATAGGAAAGTTGAAAAGAAAAGTGGATCAGACTCTGAGGAACTTAATTTTGAAAAGTGAACATACACTGTGATATTTTGATATAGGAAAGTTGATCATACTCTGAGAAACTTTTTCATAGAAAAGTTGATCACACTCTGAGCAACTTTTTCATTGAAAGTTGATCATACTCTGAGCAACTTTTTCATAAAAAAACTTAATCACACTATGATAAATTTCTTATCAAATAATTGATCACACTCTGATCATTCTTCATCGAAAATTGATCAGATTCTGAGTTTTATAATCCTAGGAAGAAAAATGGATTAAAAGTGGATCAGACTCTGAGGAACTTAATTTTGAAAAGTGATCATACACTGTGATATTTTGATATAGGAAAGTTGATCATACTCTGAGCAACTATTTCATAGAAAAGTTGATCACACTCTGAGCAACTTTTTCATAGAAAAGTTTATCATACTCTGAGCAACTTTTTTCATAGAAAACTTAATCACACTATGATAAATTTCTTTATCAAATAATTGATCACACTCTGATCAATTTCTTCATCGAAAAATTGATCAGATTCTGAGTTTATTATCCTAGGAAATTTTGATCAGACTCCGAGTAACTTTTTCATAGTAAAGTTGATCACACTCTGATCAAGTATTTTACCGAAAAGTTCAACACACTCTGATCAATTTTTGATAGAAAAGTTGATCAGTTTCTGGAGCTACATTTCATAGAAAAGTAAATAAAGTCTAAAAAGATTCTGAACGACCTATTTTTTAGAAAAAAATGAACATATAAAAGTTTATAGAAAAAAGCTTATTAAGCTCTCATACACACACTTCTTCATAAAAGTTTATAAAACTCTGGTCAACTAATCTGATCACAAAGAAAGGACCACCCTAATACACACAATTTCGTAGTTATAAACTCTTAAATATAAAACAAATGTTTACTTAATCATTTCAAGATAATAAATAATATAAAAAAAACAAAATAAAAGAATACGTTTTTAAATAAATTGAGGGCTTGCAAAACTATTAAGCGCAAAAAGACTTTGTGAACAATTACCAAAGGAGAGAGAGTGTTAGAGAGGGAAAAGAATAAGTAAAATTAAACTCATCACTCAAGTGAAGATAACTCACACACAGCCAAAGGAAAAACTCCAACAGACCGACAAACTATTATCGGAAATGCGTAGAATTTATTGGTGACTAAATGTTATAAAACTCAAGTCATTGTTGTCTACAATTAAATACTAGTGTCAGACAGAAGACAGTTAAAATGAAATAAATAATAATAATAAAAAAAAAATAATAGCAAATAAATAAAAACAATATAGAAAATTTAGAGCAAACAGAATATCAATCAATTAATTATGCAATTATATTAAACAGTACAGTGTCTTATAAAGTTATAAAGACAAAAAAACTGATAAAACTTTTTTAATTAAAAAAATATTTAAAAAAAAAAACTATAGAAAGTTTGTTTCTCTATGACTAAAAAGAAATTCCCTTTATTAATTATTTTACATATATTCCAGTTCGTTGATCATTGTTCCTGGAAATTGATACTTTGTTTAAATAATTACAAAAATTCCTTTATCATTGTTTTATTTTTAGTACCAACAGGTCATCCCATTGTGTGAGACAATTATTTCTCTTGTTTTGTTATTTAAAACAAACATAAAAAATTGATAATGATTTTTACTAAATAGTGAATCATTGTTAAAATAAAAGTGAAAGGTTTCTAAATGATCATTACTCAAATATACATATATTTAAATAATGTTTTTTTTTAATATTCTAGAGTAATGATGTAAATTTTACAGACTGACTGTCAACGTGACAGAGATAGACTGATGGAAATTCAAAACAACAATATTTGAATTCGTCATAATGGTGAATGCATTTTAATTGTTCTAAGATAAAAGTACACGTTAAACAAAGGTTAATAGGAACGGATTACACAATTGTTAATAATATTTATTATTGTTATTTAATAAAAGAAGAAAAATTCCATTTCATATGAAAAAAAAAAAAATATTTAAATTAATAATTTTAAAATATGATATCAATTTCTTAGAATAATGGACTTCAGATCACAAATAGATATACCTCGATATTATGAAGTTCTTTGAAGATTCTTAAAATCTGAATCTAATTCAAGTATTCTAATAAAAGTAGTTTAGAGTCTTTTCAACTTTTTTATTCAAAAGAACAACTTTTCTATGATAAAGTTGCTCGGAATCTGAAGAACTTATAAATGTGTTGATCAGAATTTAAAGAGTTTTTCTATAAAACAGTTGATAAAGCTTCGAATAATATTTCTATGCAAAAGTTGCTCAGAGTCTGAACTACATTTCTTTGAAAAAGTAACTCAGAGTCTAAAAAACTTTTCTGTTAAAGAGATACCCATAGCCTGATCAACGTTTCTATGATAAAGATAATCAAGGTCTTTTTTCTATGGAAAAGTTGAGGCTGAACAGGTTTTCTATGAAAAAGTTTCTATCAGTCTGAGAGTAACTTTTCTATGAAGAATTTGCTAAGGATTTGAACAACTTTATTGCTGCTCAGTCTTAAGAACTTTTCTATGAAGAAATTACTTAGAGTCTGAACTCCTATTCTATGAACATTTGCTCAGAGTGTGATCAACGAAGAATCTAAACATCTTTCCTCTAAAAAAAGCGTTCTGAATTGGAAGGAGTTAGAAAGTTTCAATATTTACACAATGATTTGCAAGTTTAAAACTTTTTAATAAACAAAATGTGATCCCAAAGGTCAATTTTCAGTAGTTGTTCCAGTTATTTGTATCCATAACTATGAAATTTAAATCTTTCCTGTCATTGAGATATATCCAAACAAACAGCGAAGAAGAAAAAAACAAACCTGGAAGTATTAAACTACAAATGCTGCAAAATAAAGATAAAATTATAAAAAAAACAAAGCAATAATAAAAAAACACTAAAATAATAAAAAAAAAAGACAACCAACTGAGCACTAAAAATTATAATGCCGGTGTAAATAGATGAACAAGAACAAAAACAAAAGAATAGTCATAAAAAACAACAACATACATAAGTATGTACAAAAGCAACAAAAAATTTATTACACTCACCTCCACTTATGTGTTTGTTGTTGTTGTTGTGCTTACAAATAGAAGAAACAACAAATAGTTCCTCAAAAATCCAACAACGACAACAATAATAATAAATAACAAAAATTAAAATAAAAACAGAGGTGTCTGGTCTTGGTAGCTGCTGCTGCTGACTCTAAATAATTCTGCTGCTTTATTATTTATTATTATGCTTTTTTCTTCTTTTTATGACAGTTGCTCCGTCTCTCTAATAAAACACGATGATTTTTGTTTTTATTTTTTCTTTCAAACCAAATGTTGTTGTTGTTTTTGCTGTTTGAAAAAAAAGCACTCGAAAACTTCGCGTGTAGTTGTAGTTGTGGTTATGTTTTGTTTTTGCTGTTTCTTTATATTTTATTTATTTTATTTATGAACAAAAATTTTAATTCTTGTTTTCTTTATTTTATATTTTATCTTCTTTCTTGAGGACGTAGTGAATCACAAAGTTATATTTAATAAAAAAAAAAAAA